TAACTGAGGTCAGGATCAGAGGCGCAACACATATTACACATAATAAAATAGGCCCTTGAGCAGTTTTCATTTCCTGCTGCCTGCAATTCAATCATCGAATTGTACAACACTTGTGCATTACTTTAGGCTGTTGTACTATGCTAGGTCATCCATTGTGAAATTCAAATTAATATGATCCATCTGAATGGAGATAGTGCGGTGCGGTTTGACGGGAACTCCCTTGAAACTATATTCTAAATGAGTCTGAAGGTGTTTGACAAAAAAGGAAAAAGCATCACACGTCATTCTGAAAGTTGGCTTAGCTCTTTCTACTGACAAAAAAGTGGTGCTATTCAATTAGCACGCAAAATATAACAAGTTTCTTCATGATGTTAAATTATTGATCACTAGGATAAAGTTACATTAAGGCAAGTACATACTTTGATCAGAATTTAAATAATATGAGATTTACAGTACCAGAAGAAGGTGGCCGCTGATTCTTTTGGGATTGCAAATTTGGAGTTTCAGCGCACAAAAGATCATAAAGGCAACATCCTGACCCTGCAGCTGAAACATTTCTTTCATCAGTTAGCCTACCAATAATTGGAAACAAGATGATACTTCACAGGAAGTAACTTCCAGTTTTGCATAATCTCAATAACCTGAATCAGAAAGCTCACATGAATATTAAGAAATGAAAAATGAACTGTGTCCTTTAGTTGTCAACCATTATTCTTGAACCAACATTTTAGAGATAACACTAACTCTTTTTTTCTTTTTTCTCAAAAGTCAACTTTACAAGCTTACAATTATTAAAGGAAGGAGAGACTCGTGACTCCAAAATTTGCTGATCACGTTCACATCCTGATTCTAACTTGAATTAATCTCCGGTTTAAATGAGAAAAGTTGCACGTTATGGTTTCTCAATTGTTGTGAGGCCTCCAGGGCCCTACCCCCCCAACTCACATTCATGTCAAGACCCTATTGTCCCTATAAAATGACAAGACAGGGATTGATTGAAACATGTATATGTATGTCATAATCCATACATACGGCACACCAGTTCTTTTCCCTGACATTAAAAGGTTTAAAATACTGATTATCTACCGGCGAAAAAGAAATCTCTAAGTTCCAGTTACTTTTGACTTAAAAGTCTCATTACTTATTCAACCTTTGATGTTACCAGAGGGTGCAATAACTATATCCTATCAACTCGAATTAGAAGTAGAAATGGGTCTCCTCATGGAAACCAGACGTTTGCGGTGAATAATCAATCAGCACATGTTTCTGCTAACATTCCTAATTTTAAAAGAAAAAGTTGTCCACGTATAGAAAAAAGTTGTCCAAATATTCTATAGCCTCAGAGTAAGAATATAGAAAGGGGGCTTTTCATAACCAGATTTTTTATGCAAATAATTAATCAACGCGTGATTCCATGAATATCGTTAAGGAGCAAAACAATTATCCAAACAATCTATAAAGACTCAAAATTTATTTTACAAAAAGAAGGGGAAATGAACAAGTGAGTCCAGCAAATGTTGTTCCATTCTTCTGCAAGAAGAAAAGCAGAAGGAAATAGAAAGTTTCAACCTGAGACACCATTGAGCTCAACATTATTATGATGCCGTAAAGACATCTTCTGCCTCTAATATTTCAATCCCCAAATCAAGAAATGACGCTACAATCTGAGAACAGCCATTGACCCGCTAGTTCTCTGCATGTAATTATAACAACCATGCTCAGCACAAAAAAAGGATGAAGCCATCAAGATGTAATCTTTTGATTTGTTCATCTTTGCAGAGAATAATATACTGTTCAAAATAGGAGTAAGAAAAATAAACAAACCAGGGCGCAGTCGTTGCAATGAGAGGCCCAAAACAGGTAGGAAAAGTAATAGTTCTCAGCCGAAAACCTTACAAATCAGATTACACCCTTATCCTCTCGAGGAGACAACGGCCCCTTGTCTTCTGTAAATCAAAGCTTTCTTAAAAGGTTTCTGGGTTGGCGGGGGAAGATTAAAATATCATACAAGTTAGTTGGAAAGCCAGAGAATATTAATGGTCTGTGAGGGAATTGGTTTTCGAAAACCGTTGAAGTTGAAAGCTGAAACTTCGAGAAAACAGCAATGAGAAAGAAGAAAAAGGGAGATTCAACGGAGAGTGCAAGAAAGATTCAGAAAACTAAAAGACAGGTCTGATTCGGATAATGTGCAAACGATTCTATTCTGACAAATATCGTAAATTTTGTTCGAAAATGTGTAAATGTGAATCATTAGGCATCAAAAGTCATCGAATTTTTGGAAATGAAGCTCATTTCTGATAAATGATTGCCTGTCGACAAACCAACATTCAAGTATTCAACCTTCACGAGCGAAACGCGCTCAAAGAGCGCGTGCTTTTCTTGTGGGCTGAGTTGGTCTGATTTTCTCAAATAAAAACCTCATTAATTGTCCCTATTAATTTTCGGCCAAAAAGCATTGTCCTGTTTTATTATATTATCTTTAATCATATCTGTCAATTTATTTTTAATATAGGTAAAAAATTTATTTTTAATAGATTAATTGAATATTATTATCTTATTGGCAAAAACAAATTGATATAACAACTTTTCACATATAGAGGTAAAATAATACTCCTTCTTTTCTAAATATAAAAGTTAGTTATAAATATAAAATTTTAATTCATTTTATCTTTTATATATATGATTTTTATTCAAATTGTAAGTTAATAGATAATTTAATATTACACGGGATTATTTTAAGAAGATAATATCATAGTTTTTAAAATTAAATGATTTATTTAGTTTTTAACCTATTCAAATTAATTAAATATTTTTATTAAAGATAGAAGGAATAGAATAAAAAATATAATTGAAATTGATCAATGAGAAGGAAAACAAATAAGTAAAAAGTACACAAAAATTCCAACAATTAAAATTAATATATTTTGAAGCAAATATCGCAATATTGGTTCCACTGAAAAACCAACAAAGGTAAAAAGAAATATCGCGTGTTGGATGTGGAGGCTACGCGGACGTTGACGCTGATGTGCGGAGCGGTATTGCGTGACGCGGCATCATTGAGGTCAAGAGTTATGTGGACCGCACTTGCCCAACTGCCGATATTCCCACTATTTCTCGGACGTTATATTCTCTTTTTGTAGGCACACTTTGACTTCATATTTTTGGGATTATTATATCAAAGTGATTGTTTTTAAAAAGATGGCAATAACGGTCAAGACTAAAGTAAATATATCTATTATTATAAAATAAAAATACTAAAATAGGTTTTAAATTTGAATTTTTAGCAATGTACTACACTTCCAGTTCTTAATATAAGAGCTCGTTTGCTTTTTATTTTAATTCTAAATATAAGACTCCAATGTATTTTGTCTATCATATTTATCTACTTTTTTTCCTAAGATAGTCATTGTAATAATAGTAGTTTTAACTAATGCACTTGATTAGTAAAAGTATTCTAGAAAAAAAAATCTATTTATTACAAATAAATAACTTTATACACTTCCTTAATCTACTCAAATAGTCCCTTACAACGTAGCGAAATAAGATTCGAATCCCCACTAGGAGAGATGTCCACATTTAGTGCCCAACAATGTCTTGAAGAGGATTGCCTCCAATGGAATGATACCTATGCTTTAGCCAAAAAAAATCTACTCAAATTAATTAATTAGCTCTTATATTAAGGACAAAAGGTAATATCTGTAATTGAAAATGTAAGAATTTATGTAAAATATGATGTGTTGATGATTGATTATATTTAATGAGATTGCAGTCTCTAAAGCAAAGGAAGTCAAGTAGTAGAGGAGAACCACTCCTGGTCCTTGCCTCATGCACGGCTGTACTCTAAACGCAATGCCTATTCAAAATGAACTTAAGCAAATAATTTGCCTTGATAAATGACGATTATAAATAAAATAAGCATTTCAAAAAATTAATATGAACAATATCCAAGTGTAAGTCAAATCCCGTTACTATTCATAAGCTTTTATTATTATGTCTCATTTATAGAGACACCACCATTAAGTTCCCAATATCTAACAGGAAGGAAAAAAAATGGTCATGATGAAATAATCAAGGTTCCCTTTTTTCTCTTCCGGTTAAACCTGCAATTTATTAATAGAAAGAATGTCAGTTACTTGCCAGAGGCAAGCATAAAATATCAAGAGTAGAAAGGTGAACTAAATTAGAAGAAACAATAATACTACTTCTCATCCTTAATATAAAAATTTGTTGACTAATTTGAATAGAGTAAAAAAAAAATTAATTAAGTTAGTTATTTATAATAAATATATGTTATTTTTCTTAAAATATTATTACTAATCTAATGTATTAACTAGAATTATCATTATTACAAAAACTAACTTAAAGAAATAAATAAATAAATATGAAAAACAAAATAAATTTAAATCTTTTATTTAGAACTACTATTACTACATAACTAAGAACTAAAAAGAGCCAAATCAGACTTGATATGTTTGGAGGATTGTTGGAGAAAGTCACCCTTTGAAAGCGCCTCATTTTAAAGCAAACCATGATCTTTGTGACTCCTCTATTAGCCCAGAGCAAGTTTTCTCCAAGCCGCAATGGCCCATCATGTGTATATGCGTGTGTGTGTGTGCCCGGACTGTATGCACTATCTGAAACTGAAAAATATTTCCTTTTCCAGAACAACATCAATAATAAAATAAGAAAAACTTGACGCTTCGTTTTGCTTTTATTGAACCACACCTTCCATCCCTTGCTGCAGTATGTGCTAGTAGTTACAGTGGACGAGACCTAGCTTCACTTCCGAGAAAGTTATAGGCAGATTTCAAGTGATCTGTACGGACTTGGATCTCAGAAAGACCTTGCAGGCAGAGGTTGTAGATCCTTGATGAATGACCTTACTTCAACTTTTTCCCAGATGCAGTTATATCCAACATGGAACAATGTTATATCAACCGAACTCAATCTTTGACAAGTCATAACATGTCCCAGTCACGATGTAGAGTTCTTTTTTTTTGGGGGGGGGGGGGGATGCAGGGAACCTTACATGAATGTATGAGATGAATTTGATTGTTTTAAATTAAAAATAAAACTTCTACACTTGAAGAACGTCTATTTCAGACAAAAACCAATTCTAAACCACGCAACATCAAACGAAAATATTAACTCGCTTGGGTTTCAGCTTTGAGGCCATTGTCTGCTGAACCAGTTGAGCTCGGTGAGCTTTCTGATGATTTTACTATATTTTTAATGTATCTCCAGCAGCGCTTGTGAACCCCACTAATTTTCTTTGCAGCGTCTGCTGCAGGCAAGCCTGCAATACGTTGTAAAAAATTAGAAAAGCCCCATGACAGTAGGAAAATATCTTGAACAAACCCCCATTTTTAAACCCATAAACAACAGAAATAAACTAAACTAAGCATCAACTCAATCATTTAGACAACATAAATAAATTTAAGATTGCATCCAGATGAATAATTCATAAGAAGTATCCCAGGTGAGAATGCAACAGCATATAATAAAAAAGAATATTAGCCAAAAGGAATTCAAAAGTTTAATGACTATCCATTTAGTTATTTCTCTGTGGTTTATATATTCCACTAAAGTGATTGAGAAGGGATTTTGCTAATGCTTCAGATTGCAAAGACTTCAACCGAGTAACGAATGCCATACAACGCAGAAAATATATAAGGAGCAAAGGTTATCACAAAAAATAATGTTGTAAAAAAATCAGAACCAACAGCCACCAAAATTGCGAAAGAAACTCAATAAATGCATCCTTGGTATTCCATCTGGAATGCCTTATGCCTAAATGTAATTCCTCGCCAAGAAAGTGCCTTTGGAGCTAATTCAGTTTCTATGCTGGAGAACATGTTTGGACAGTCCCAAATTTGCATTTTCAAGCAACATAATTGCTCCCCCCCGCCGGCTTGGGGGCCCTGCTGCCCCCCGGGGGGGAGTTTATCTGTGAACGCATTCTTACATGTCCACAGAGCTTAGAAACTCCCCCCTCCTAACAATATCTCCGTCTGAGAAAAAACAGTGGTAGAGTCATAACCACGAACAATGAGGCAATTCATCCATCAGAAAGGCAAACTCAAACTATAGTCTCATTGAAGAATACCACTACAACGCATGATCACTACCTTCAACGATTGTCAGGATATAATAGTTCAAGTACTCTTGCATTGAAATCTTTCGCAGTATGATGAGCAAAACTAAAATGACAATAGGGAAAAACAAAAGGAGGGAGGGGCAGAACAAAAGAAACCGCAGGATGATAAGAAACTTTAGACTGACCATTTTTATGAACTATTCCCCATGCCTTGCCATGCCTTCCATCCTGAAAATTCGGTAGACGCATAAAATGTAAGTCTTTAACAAACTAATGCAAAAGCGCATTTGCTGGATAAGGTTAAATTCAAAGGGACAAAAAGACCTTGTAGAGATTGATTTTGGTGATTTCATAAGAGACGTCAGTCCAGTGAGTCTTGGCCATGTGGTATCCGATTCCCCAGTTCGGCAAGAACTGAGCGACCTCGAACAGGTTCTTCTTCTTTCTTCTCTTGGACTTCTTAGAGGTGGTAGGGTTTTGAGAAGCGGAAGAAGCCGAAGACGAAGCAGAGCTGAAGTTTCTGAAGAGACTGAATGAATATCTGAATAAATGAGAGCCTCGAAGAGGCAGGGCTGTGCTAGCGAGAGCAGTCCCCATTCCAGTACTTCCCTTTCTGACAAACTAAAATCACTCCTCTCCTCCTCTTGGCAGCTGCTACCCAATCCAATGATGCTCTAATCTCGAAAAACAATAATCTTGTTACAATGCTATGAGTAATGCTCTAAGTTAGTAACAACTGGCAATGCATCAATTCAATTTGCTCAGCGATGGAAGAGGACGTCATCATACACAACGTTTATGCAAGGTTTCTACAGAAGCATATAGAAGCAGAAAAAAGATTATACTTGTAAGTCTTTAAAATTCCGTACCTGACGAGAGAACGCCGCCGACGATGTCTGATCTGAATCAGTAGAAGCGAAGACTATATGAGTCCCTCCTTCTGAATCAACTGGAAGTCCGGTAGATTGGGAAGAGAAGGGATGCGAGACTGTGAAGTTAAAGAAGGAGTGAGAGAGATCTGTCAAAATTGTGGGGATTGCGGGAGAAAGACACAGAAGCGACGGCTGAACCCACGCTCGACGATCCTCGGGAGCGGGGGAAAGGTTGGCCTATAGTCTTAAAGCCGGGACCGCATTCCGTGCTCATCAGCCTGATGAGCTCGGCGTGCTCATCACTCAAAACGCCAGCGTTTTGAGTGCTGAGCAGTAGAGGGCCTTAGTTTTTTTTTTTTTTTTGGCTTTTTTTTGCTGTCCTTGTTCATCATTAAAAAAAATTATGGTTTTTAATATGAAAGCTTGTTTAAATTTTATCTTGATTCTAAATATAAGATTATAATCTATTTTATCTCTCATATTTATCTATTTTTTCTTAAAACAGTCATTGTAATAATAGTAGTTTTAACCAGTACATTTGATTAGTAATGACATTTTAGAAAAGACAACATCTATTTATTACAAATAACTAACTTAACTAGTTTTTTTTAATTTATTTAAATTAGTCAGTTAATTCTTATATTAAGGACCAGAAGTAGTATATATTAAAATTATTTTTGGATTAAGTTTCATTGAATACTCTAAAATAATTTTTCATGTGTATTCAGTAAAAATATGGATGCATCTAAAAAATATTTTTAAAGCATTAGATGAATCACAAAATATTTTAAGATGTTAGATGCATTTGACAAAAAAATTTCAGGATGATAGACGAATCAAAAACTATTTATAGGATGCTGGACTTGCTTGAAAAATAATTTAAGGTGTTAGATAATTACAAGAAAAAATACATTAAGATGTGGGACACATCTAAAAAAATATTTTAGTATGCTAGATAAAACACAATATTTTAGAATAATAAATATACCTGCAGAAAAATATTTTAGAGTATTAAATAAAACTTAAACCAAAAATAATTTTTATGCATATATTTTTTTTAAATAATAAAGGTGAAGGGGGGAGAGACCTAAGGTCCCACGGTGCTCATCAGCCTGATGAGCACGGAATGCGGGCGCCTTAAAACCCCACTCTAAACGCCCAGCATCATCAATCATCAAATAAATAAATAAATATTTTTCTAGTCTGGTTCGTGCAGTGAAGAGAAATAATATTTTTAGATTCTATTTATAAAATACTGAGAGAAACCTTTTATACGAATATGTAATTTTAGTCTTTATTTATTATTGTGTTAATTTTATTTATAAAATGTATAATATAAACTACCTCCAGTTCTAATTATAAGAGTTAGTTGACTAATTTGAGGATATTAAGAAAAAAAGTTAAGTTAGTTATTTATAATAAATATATGTTGTCTTTCTTAAAATATCCTTACTAATGAAGTGTATTAGTTAGAACTTCCATTGTTAGAAAGACTATCTTGGAAAAAATGCATAAATATGAGAGACAAAGTAGATTGGGGTCTTATATTGAAGATCAAAATAAAAATAAACGAGATCTTATATTAAGAATTAGAGGTAGTATTAATTAGAGATAAGGTTGGAAAGTCATTAAATTTTAAATAAAAATTAATAAAATTTAAGATTTTTTTAAATAAAATGATTTATAATCAAGAGTAAGCATACTGAGCTTGGGCCTTTGCTTTGTTCGATCATGCAACCTCTTGATGAGTTTTATCTACTTATGGGGGAAGTGACAATTCTTAGAAAGTTAACTTCCTAAAAAATCATTTTTTTTTATTTGAACGACGGAAATTTTCAAGGAAGTAGGACTTAAAAGTTTTGCTTAGGAAATTGCTCCCTCCTATCTTTTTGTATAAAATCTCATTACATGGTTTTTCGCTTCTTTATATTATTTTTTTTGGGGCCAAACTTCTTTATATTATTCGGTCTATTGTTTAACGGCGTCTTAAATAAAATTGAGATGAGGCCTATGTTAACTGAAAAAATTGATTGAATATAACCAACGGTTAATCAAAGAGGTTAGTTGTTGACAATAATATTAACACAGTTGAAATTATGATTAAAAGAGGTGTGCATATTGAATGTCTGAAAATACTACCTCCTATCCTTAATATTACTTCTGGTCTTTAATATAAAACTTTATTTGATTTTTATTTTGGTACTAAATATAAGATCACAATTCACTTTGTCTTTGATATTTATGCATTTTTTTTAAAAATAGTCCTTCTAATAATAATAGTTCTAACTAATACACTTGATTAGTAAGACTATTTTAAAAAAACAACACCTATTTATTATAAATAACTAATTTAACAAATTTTTTAATTTGTTTAAATTAGTTAATTAATTCGCATGCTAAGCAGCTGACTTTGTATGAGTATGACCAAGGGTGTGTTTGGGATCATGTTGGTGACCCCAAAAGTAACTGCTACACTGCAAAAAACAACTTCTGACTATTTCTTTTGTTTGGATCCACGATTGTCTAAAAAGTCCTTTTCTCTTCTATCACACGGTGGAACAAAAGCCACAAAATGTAGCTTTTCTGGTGCATCACGGTGCGGCAACATCATGAGCCCCTTAAATTTGTTACCTACCCAAGTTGCCCTTCTACCCAAGGACGGGATGAAAATTAACAAACCTTTTTCTGCGAATGATTATGAGATGCTTTGTTTTTCTTCGCCAGAGAAGAAGCAAAAGAATCTTAGAGATACAATGGTGGGTCTGTGAAATTATAAGACGCTGAGGTGGGGAGAAGGATTTTGAGACGCTGAGGTTTGAGAGGGATTTTGAGACGCTGAGGTGGGGAGAGGCTTTGAATGATTATTGTTGCTGCCATCAAGGACAAATTGACAGAGGCAAGGTTGGGGAGGGGTGGAGAAGGCAGGCGGTGGAGTGAGGAGAATTGATTAGAGATTTCAGGATTAAAAAAAAAAAAAGCCAGAACTTTTTTTATTTTCTGTTAAGGTATCTTTTTGTTTGTTATTTCATTATCTAAAATCTTATATTCAAGTAAGTTAGTCCAAATATCTCTAATCTCAAGGGATTATTCAAATATATCTGCATCATTGTATTTATTTTTATTATTTAAAATTTATATACATTTTTATCCATTAAACATATCTAATTAAGTACTTTAGAGCTATTTTTATTTTTATAATTTGTTAATTTTAATATTTCTCTTAAAATTTTCACATTATGTACATAATATATATATGTCATTTAATAAAATTTATATCCTTTTCAGCCATTTTACATCTAAACTTACTTTTACATTTATTATTCAAACAAGTTTCAGCTTCTCAAACTGGCTTTTTTCTAAAACCCAATCCAAACATAAATCACATTACCCTATCTGACTTTTACTCAATCTGACTTCTGTAAAAGTCAGATTGAAAAAAAAGTTACTTCTCCACTGCTAATCCAAACACACCCCAAGAGTGTGCTCCCTCGGCCCGGCCTGCCCACGCAGTCACTCGCCCGTGCTGGAGCGAAACCCACTCTACCCTTCAGTGCTTTGGCGGAAGTAGCTGCCCTATTGTTACCGGTGGCCGTCGATCTATCCGCCGTCTGCTACGGGTAACTTTCCTTTCTTAATTTCTCTTTGCTTTTCTACGGCCGAAAAGTGCTTTTGGGCTATGAAATCAAGTCCTGATTTTCCATCTCCATTCCTTGCACCATCAGAGCCTACCCTGAAGCTCTCTTCTTTGCTTTCTATAGATTATATATTTTGAATTACCAGGATTATTCATTTCTGGTTCTTGCTGCCCCATTTTGCGTTTCTTTGACGGGAATGGTTAAATTTATCAGGCGTATATGATCGTGGCTGCTGCAGTTTGTGAGTCATGTGTAACTTTTTTTTTTTTTTAATTATTCAAGTCATGCAATAAATTTTTTGCTTTTTTCTGAACGTTGAATTGAATTTTCAACCGTGAAGTTTAAACTGCGGGGAGGTTATTGGATTAGATTAATAATTTTGAGCTGGACATGATCCTTTTAAAGTGTTGTTGTTTTACTATTTATGCAAAGTTTGAGGCGGCGGGTTTTGCTTGTGTAACTTTTTCTCTCTGGTTTACAGTTTACCTTCATGTGTTTGGCCCAGAAGCAGTCTATCTTGTGGCTTTAGGGTGTCTCATTCAACTTCCATGTGGTGTTTGGTCTTAATTTTAACCAAAACAAATTGAAAGTTTATCTCAATGTACTTTGAACAGCTTCAAAATCTTAGATGTAACCTAAAACATTCAATGTATAATTGTATAAGTAAATCGGAGATGTGAAATACTACATGGTGGTTAAGTGGTTATTGAACAAATCATAGGGGCGTTCAATGACATACATCAAGTTACAGGGAGGGGTGAGAAATCAAGTCTGGGCCAAATAATAGGAGTATATTGAAAGTTATCCTTCAAGAAGATTTGATACATCTTATTGTGTGAGTTTTATGACTTGATTTTATTTATCTTCAAATGATGTAAGTTGACGTCTGAATATTGTTTCTACTTAGTTTTATTGTTCTACTTAGAGTTATTGAGTGAGATCTTTCAATTAATAATCTATTCAAAAACTTGGTCGTTGATAAAGCACAGTGGCACTGTATGATCTATGTAGCTGACTTTATCTAATCGGATAAGGTTTTGTTGTTATTGTTGTTGTATTAATATACATGTTCTGTTTTTGTGTATCTGACAGATATTTATCTGCCGCAATACGAGTTGTCAATGTGTGTTTTACTCAACTGACTTGCAATTTTGAGAGAGATAGCAACCGTGCAAGCTCAGAATGAGTTTGCTTTCAAGAATAAGGCAACATATACCTAACGGGTTATATAGACGACCTTTTCATTTGGCTTCAGTAGGGATCATTCCGAGCAAATTAAATTTGGTTTCAAGAAATTTTGGTGAAGCTGCAAGGAAAGAGGAGGAGGACGTAGAGGAAGTCGAAATTGACCAGAGAAGACTCCCAGCTGATTTTGATCCCGCAACATTTGATCCTACTGAGCATCGAAGTCCTCCGTCAGAGAGAGTTTTCAAGCTTGTTGATGAAATGGCATCTCTAACACTTGCTGAAGCTGCGGAATTGGGCCCTATCTTGATGAGGAAAATGGGATTGAAGGAGATGCCTACTGTGGGATATATGAAACCAGGAGCTGCTAACTTAGCTGGAATGGCAGCGAAGGCACCGGCTGCAGCAAAGGAGGAGAAGAAGCCAGAAAAGACCGTATTTGAACTGAAATTGGAGTCCTACGAAGCAGCCTCAAAAATTAAAATCATCAAGGAGGTCCGAGGCTTTACTGATTTAGGCTTGAAGGAAGCAAAAGATTTGGTGGAAAAAACACCCTCAATTATAAAGAAAGGCGTTTCAAAGGAAGAGGGAGAAGAGATAATAGAGAAATTGAAAGCTCTCGGTGCAAAAGTTGTCATGGAATGAAGGTAAACCGATAATTGTTCTTCTGAATAATTGTCGAAATGTTTATTTCAATATTCCAGGTCGCCTGAACTCAAACGAAAGTTAATAATATACTATCATCATTTTTGCCTATTTCTGTGGACTGACAGTCTTCCTGAGGTTGCTTTTTCATTGTTGCCAGTTCCTGAAATTTAATTTTGGGCAACTATTTAAAGGTATCATTCATTGACAAAGATCATCATATAACCAATTTCACCTAGTGGGACAGGGCTTATTGTTGTTACTGTTGTTATATTTAAAGGTGCCCTTGATTTCCATCATGAAGGATGTTACGGCTAAGTCCTTCCACATAATTTTTGAATTGGGGAGAATATGCGAAGGATCTCTCTCTACGTACAACACATTGGGTGATGCCTTGAAAACTGTATGGCCTCTTTGAGATTAGTTGTTTATGTGACAGAAGCATACTATGTTGAGATCCTTTGCATATTCTCCCTGCTTTGAAACTTCTAACTATGATTTCTATCATAGATCTTGTTTTCGTTAAGGAATATACCTCGTTTGTAAACATAATAAGTTACCGTCCTATATATAAGTCATCTTCAAAAGAATTGATGGTCTCTCTTACAAGTCACTTAAGGTAGAAATATGGAGAATTAGTTACTTTTTCCCAATTTACTCTTCACAATTTTCTATGAGAAAGGTAAGAGATTGCATGTGAGAAATTCAAATATTTTTAAAGATGACGCATTTGACAAGGGTAAAATGAAAATTTCATTTTATTTATTGATAATATGAATGATTTAGAAATGATTGGTACGCAGGATTGAAGAGACAATTGCAGCTTTTGGTCTATAAATCCTATTAGCCGTATCATGGGCTTCAAAGAGTATATGCTCTAGTATATAAACAATCTAAACAATATGCAGTATTTTACCCTCTCCAGTCTCTATCACGTCTTTTGATAGTATAGATGTTCTTTATAATCTCCCCCCTCCCTGATTTCTTGATACGCTTTACAACCTTCTATCAGAAGATCAAAACTCAATTGAGTATTGAGAAGGGAACCATTGTGTTTTAAGGTAAATTGTTCTTTATTCTCCTTTACTTTGGAATACAATTTCATGTTTGTGTCATTATTGGGAAATACAATTTTTGGCTCGGTGTATAGTACCTTTAATCAACTTAAATATTTTTATTCAGATTTTATTTGTTAAATAAAGTTCAAATGGACAAACCTGTTATCTGTACAATCATTTGGCATCTAATATTGTTAAATGAAATATAAGGATTATTTGGCTCAAGATAAGTAACTCTTAAGTTGAATTTTTTTAATTAATTAATAATATTCAAACTTTATACTTGACTTGAAAGAAATTATTATCCATTAGCCTTAAAAGTCTTGTAACATCAAAAAAAAATTTTTATAAGTAGAAGGATCTAATTTGATGTCATTTATAATCTCAAATCATTAATGCTTGTTCTTTAATTTTAAATATAATCTTTAATATAAGAGTTAGTTGAAGATTCAATTTGATCATAAATATATGACCCCAATTAATTTTATCTTCAATATTTATCCATTTTACTTTCAAGTAATCTTGATGGTGATTGTATATTTTAAGGAGTTACTATCAAGATGTGATTCAAATGTATGCGATTAATAAAGATATTTTTAAAAAGATAACGTCTATTTATTATAAATAATTAATTTAACCAATTTTCTTATTATTTACAAATTAGTTATCTGATAATACTTGACTACCCTTCAGTCCAATTTCTTAAGACAGGAGATGACTTAAAAAAATAGCTTTATTCTCATGCGCAACCATGTGATCCCTTCATAGTGCACAAGGATATGCTGGCCATTTTACCATGTTTGGCACCATGGAATTATATTCTATTATGCCAGTGAAGTCTAAACCATTAATAACGCATCATTTGCAATCTTCACCAAAAATATTCTTCATGGGAAACAGCAATATATTTACTGGATTATTAATTATTAATTATTTTTCTTAGAAACATAATTGTTTTTTTTATTTTATAAAAAGTACTAAACAGGCTCCTCTCCTCTTCCTCACCTTATTATTTACACATCATTTTGATACACTTAATTTTGTCCCCACATTATTATCATCAGTGGGGATCAACATTTCTTATATTTTATTGAATTTGAAATAGATACTTTGTAAATTAACACATATACAACCCAACTAAAAGTCATTATCCACATGAAAATGAAAGAAAAATTAAAACTAAACCTTTGAAGAGCGAGATGGGTGGAGATATCAGATATAATTGTTGATAATTATGGATTTGGCATTATCAAAGTGAATTATGTGACATATGAATGGCAATAATAAATAATCAATCTTAAAATTAATCAGTTCAAAAATACCAATCTACATAACTCTGTAAGATAAGTTAGTTCATCACCATTGAAAGAGACTAAATCATTGCATATATGTATTTTTGCGCTTGGGTGGTAAATGGGAAAAAAATTTTCTTTTAGTTATTTTTCAAGTTTTTCAAATAAAAAATTATTCTTACCATGATTTTTTTCTTATAAGATTTTTAATTCAGCATTCAGCAATTAATAAAGATTTCATCAAGGCAGCTCCTTATTTTTTTTTTATTTTGAACTTTCGATATTAAAGCAAATTAATTCGTCAAATTCAGACATTTAAAAAATCACACAACTCTTTTAATTTTGTAAGAATCGCATACAATTTTTTTTTTGCCAACCACATGGAATTTTTTTTTTTTCAGTTTTTCAAAATGTATATGACTTTCTCATGTAAATGAAATAAAACTATATGGAAATTTAGACTTTATGAAAAATTGAGTCTTTGATGCAACTCAATTGTCGAACAGTAAGCGATATGTAATTTTAATAGAAATTAAAGATGACTTTTTAATTTATTTTTATTTTAAAAGAATAATTTTAATTTAAAAAATTATTATTTAAAAACTAAAAGAGTTTAATATGATGGGATTAACTTTAAAAAATTTCAAATTATTTATGCAAAAAAAAATCTAAAAAAAACGAAAAAGAATCCAAAGCTCTTTCTTTTTTTTTTTTTTTTTGCCAACGAATCCAAAGCTCTTTCAACCAGCACGCTAGTCGCTGCCTCCCCCGTGTCTGAGAAGCAGCAAGCGCGCTCTGAAGCACTAAGCCACTAGCCTCCACTGCCGGCGCCGCCCACTTCGTCACCGGCGATCACTAGGTCGGTCTCTCTTATTCATATCTCTGGTGTGAATATTCTACTTCTGAATGCTTGCTTCCAGCATTAAACATGTTGGGAGTCTCGGCTATCAATGAGCTCTTAGCGTCTGTTTTCTATTTCTCTATTATTGCGACAATAACCGAATTAACAAGACGTTATTTCTTTTTTTGAGAATCTAGTTTCCCCCCTTTTGATCATTTCGTCTTTGTACCTGCACTTGTCTCCTGTAATTTCTCTCTCAAGCCATTTAACCTCTGACTTGTTAGTCTCTGACAAGCAGAAGGCAACCAACGAGTTGATCATTCTTTTCTACTGAGCTGAAGCTCCTGGATTATATTTTTCCAAGTAAAAATATCATCTTGGTTGAGTTTTGGTTCATTTTTATAGCTACATAAGGTACCTCCTTTCTGCGTTATGGCTGGCGTTTGAGTAAGTTCATTTTGTTGATTAAATGCTACAAAGTTTGCAGTAGGGAAATGAATGATTGTGAATAGGGATCATTTACTCTTGTTATTTCAAATTTTTCATGTGCGTTTCATCTCTCAAAGTTTATCATTTAATTTGTAGGCCATTGGCCTCTTGAGTTACAGTAATTTGTAAAGTTTGCAAGAACTGCTTGCTTCTATGCTACTATCCATAATGTAAAGTTAGTAATGCAATGATGAAGTCTGAGCTGAATGGTTGCCACTTTTATGCATATTGACATCTGTTTCTTCAAAAATTATGGTTGACGATGCACTTATTGGATGACGCAGGCTGTTTATAGTGTCTTGGGACAAAACTTGAAACAAAGAAATTTAAGTTATTTGCGAAGGAAACTCAACATCATCCATGGAGTCTCTAGTTCTTAAACTCTTTGAAATCTCAGCTGTCAAATTTGGAAACTTCAAACTCAAATCTGGCATCTTCTCTCCAATTTATATAGACCTTCGCCTCATCATTTCGTACCCTTCCCTCCTTCAGCAAATATCCCAAATTCTAATTTCATCTGTCGCTTCTACTTCCTTTGACCTTGTATGTGGGGTCCCTTACACTGCTCTTCCCATTGCTACTTGTGTCTCAATCACTAAGAACATCCCCATGGTCATGCGACGCAAGGAAATCAAGGATTATGGCACTGCTAAAGCCATTGAGGGTGAATTCAAGCCTGGCCAAAGTTGCTTAATCATTGAAGACTTGGTTACCAGTGGCACATCAGTTTTGGAAACTGCTGCTCCACTGCGTGGTGCAGGGATGAAGGTCAGTGATGCTGTTGTTTTAATCGATAGAGAGCAAGGTGGGAAAGAGAATTTAGAGGAGAATGGCATAAAGCTGCATTCTATTATAAAATTGACTGAAATGGTCAAGATTTTGAGGGAAAAAGGAAAGCTTGATGATGAGATCGTTGGGACTGTCATGAAATTTTTAGAAGAGAATCGGAAAGTTGCTGCTTTGGCAAAGGTGGAGAAGCCTGTCACTAAGGCCAAAGCCTTGTCATTTGAGGAGAGGACGAAGCTGTCAAAGAATCCAACAGGAAAGAGACTGTTTGATATAATGGCTAAAAAGGAGAGCAATCTATGTTTGGCAGCAGATGTTGGAACTGCGGCAGAATTGCTTGAAATTGCTGAAAAGGTGAGAACGTCGTGTTTTTTTGGTATGAATTTGCACCCCAATCTTACATAATTTTTTTTTTTGGGGGGGGGGGGGGTGTGTTTTAAAAGCACAAGTGCTATCTGGAAAATGGTTAAAAATGAAGTAAGTTTTGTTAGTGGGATTTTTTCCCCTTTTGCCAACTGGGTTATGGGTTGAACTATTGCATGAGTAAATTATTTTTATTTCGACGAATTTGATTTTCCTTGACAGGTTGGCCCTGAGATATGCCTGCTGAAAACTCACGTGGACATATTGCCAGATTTTACTCCTGATTTTGGCTCTAAGCTTCGCTTGGTATAATTCTAATAGAAGTGCCCCCTTTTTTTTCTGTATATCTATTTTGCCTTGCCACTCAAGATTGCAAAACAAGCTTTTCCGTCCTAGGTTTATTGACTTTTGTATACTTTAATATATTAGTTAACATCTATTAAAATAAAATGTTGATTTTGAGAATGTGATAAGTTTTGTGGAATTACATAATTTTCTGGCCTCGCTTTTTCTGATATGTGGCTCATTCTATTGAAGATTGCAGAAAAATATAACTTCTTAATCTTTGAGGATCGGAAATTTGCTGACATTGGTAATACAGTAACAATGCAGTATGAAGGGTAAGACCTTGCTCTTCTGTTTTGGATTTTTTCCCCGGAAGTTCCCTCAAACTGCTCTTTTGGTTGAGACAAGTTCCTTTTTTTTCTTTTTTTTTTCCCCACTTTTTTTTTTGTGTACTTTGATATGACATTTTTTTCGTTCTGTTGTTTGAAGAGGGATCTTCCATATATTGGATTGGGCTGATATAATAAATGCCCACATTATCTCTGGTCCTGGAATTGTGGATGGATTGAAATTGAAGGTCTGTAATGTCAGATATTATTCATTTTGAATGCAGCATGACCTCAATTGATAGATTCATATGACTTGAATTGTACTCAGGGTTTGCCTCGTGGTAGGGGTCTCTTGCTTCTTGCTGAAATGAGTTCTGCTGGTAACCTTGCCAAGGGAGATTATACTGCTGCTGCAGTGAAAATTGCCGAGGATCATTCTGATTTTGTTATTGGCTTCATCTCTGTCAATCCAGCATCATGGCCAGGGGCACCCCTAAATCCTTCTTTCATTCAGGCAACTCCTGGCGTCCAAATGGTGACTGGTGGTGATGCTTTGGGGCAACAATATAACACACCATATTCTGTGAGTTATTGCATGTTGACACTCATCAGCCAAATTTTTCCTTATCTACATGTATCAGAAAGTTGAACATTTGTAGAAATTGACCTTGTCGGAGTTACTTAGTTTTACCTGCTTAGGATAGAAAAGAATTCTGTTGGGATTATGAGAAAGAAAATGGAAGGTGGTGGTGGGATCTAGTTTCAGTCTCAATAATAGATCTTTATGATATTTAAAATGCCAATATTTGATATGTCAAATGAAAAATGCAAGTGAAAGGATATAAACGCTATTTTGCGGAAGTTAATAAAGCTAAAAGGAATGAGTTAGATGTGCATGGTGTTTTGGGGGGGTATGAAACGCCACCTAAAGGATATGATTTTAACATACTCGGATCTCTTGGATGACACCAGTCAGCTTTGATTTCATTGTACAAAACAAGACACCAAGATCAACACCTAAGATGTCTAGACCATAGGGGACCAGCTGCCTCTTGGCTAACATCGTACTGGAAGATTGATCAGAATAAACAAAATTGATAGAATAGTTGAGGCTAATACCTATATCATGTATCACAATAGTGTATTATTGAAGTGACGAAAATTACTTATTGGTTTTTCTCTTAGCTTTGAACATTAAAAAAAAAAAAAAAAAACCTGTAATTTTGGTAATTAATAATATTGCTAATTTTGGCATTGCAGGTGATCCATGACAGAGGAAGTGACGTCATAATAGTGGGACGTGGCATCATCAAAGCAGCTAACCCGGCTGAAACGGCTCGTGAGTACCGTCTTCAAGGATGGAATGCATATTTGGCCAAGTGCACTTGAGGCCTCACTTCAAATGTTTAATTGGATGAGTCTAATCTTTGTTTCTGTGACATGTCTAATTTCACTACAAACCCTAGAGGAAGAAAGCTCTTGGGTGAAATATGGTGTGCAATAATACTTCTGGACTAATTTAATGTGAGACCCTTGTGTTTTCATGCTCATGTTCTCGATGGTGCATGGTTTTCAAGTTTTCATAACTACCACCACTGATCGCATGATGTTAGAGTAGAATACTGATCGCATCATGTTTTATTATTATTTGTCATTAATTTCCTACAAAAGTTATATAATGATGATTGATTCATATTTAATTAAATTTTATAGACGTCACTTATTTGTGTTTTTCGGGAGAGGGGTAGACAGGATCACAAAAGGTGGCAGATTTGTATTTTACATGCTCTCGGCATTATTATTTATTTATTTATTTATTTATTTTTCAAATGCGTTATATGGTCTATTTATTTTTGTTCCTATCCTTCTCTGTTGACTCTCTTGTTTTATACACACACACCCACATATGAAGAGTATCTCAATATCGATAAAAAGTAAATCAAACTAATGAAAAATGTGATCTGACAAATTGTTAAATTTTTATGTGAAAACCAAATTCGACATGTAAACTTCAAATATGGCATCTTCCAATATTTATTTTAGATTCATCTATTGAACAAAAAAAATCCAATAAATACAAGAAGAAAATTACTGCCCGAGAATTCCATTGAAAATAAAAATGGCAGATGTCCAGTCCCAAAAAAAAAAAAGGCAGATGGAAATTATATGCAACTACAGCAGAAGTGACGTTTAAGATTCTCTAAAGTAAACATCTTGCATTGCGTCATTCCTTCTGCTTGACAGATACTTTAACTTGAAAAGAAAGCAAAGGCCACTGAAAGAATCCTAAATGTCATAAATTACAGATAACTGCCTAATAGAACAAAAATAAACAAAGTCAAATGATGGTACAAAAGCTGATCATGTGTGTTGTACATCAAACCAGAAAAGTAGAGAAGTTCGAGCATAAATTACCCTGACTCGTTGCAGCACGAGATCGCCACTTGTCAGAACAGCTTTGGCACCTCCCTCAATCCGGGTTTGAGAAACAAAAACACCATCATCATTGTTCTTCATGGATGAAGGAATCACCTCACGGCTACTGGCTGTACTCACAATGGGACATGAGAGGTAATCCAGAGGATCAGATTCACACTGAAGTATGCATCCATCTATAGTCAGCCTTCCCCTTCTATGGAGCAAGCAACAACCAAGCTCTGCCTTTACCGTTAGATTCGCTAGTTTGCACGTGGAAAGGAGCTCCAATGCACTGCCACACAAAATTAAGAGCAGATACCACATGTTGCAGAAGAATACAGTGGTGACTTGAAGACCTGTCCATGCTGCTGGATTATGGTTGAAACAACAAAGATCGATTTTCGGATGCGGCAAATGGTATTTGCATTATTGTGAATCTCGTTCAGGGCATGTAGCTCAAAAAGTATTATGTCTAGCCACGAATATTATCCATTGAACCCAGCAGCATGGAGGTGGGTCTGAATTACCACTAATAAGCTCAGCAACCAAGGTAAAAAATGTAGACAAGTTCTGCAAACCTGTCTGAGCCTCGAGAACAAATGAGCATGTGTCATCCGGAAGTTCACCTGCACCAATCTGAATAAAGAAAGAGGAGATTAAAAATGGAAAATGTGGGAACATTCTTACATGAAAATTCTTTTCCCATGGACTAGATTAGCGATGACGGTCAAAGCACCAATTTTAATTAACAGAGAATTCCTCCGGTGTTGGGCAGAGAATGAAATGAGCACACGAAAAAGATGTAGTCTCACGGCCAGATTGATATAGTTGTAGCAATTGCCATTTAGAATTTGATATCAGATGTAATCACACACACATTGTGTGTGTGTGTGTATCCCTTTTCACCTACTTCAGCTAGAAACTACACAAATGTTTTTTATTCTTTCACCTAGGACTAAGAAAAGTGTGTGAGAGGGCTTACTAGGCAGATCGGTTTCTTATCTGAATATTAGAGACCCGGTGGCTCCCTCGCTGCTATAACTAGAATGGTATCACCTGGTCTGAAACAAAACAAAACAACGATCATAATCTATGAGACGAGAAAAATCCCATAACAAGGCAATGATGACAAACCTAGCTGCGGAAACAGCAGTTTCAATGCTGGGGAAAAACCAGGTTCCGATAAGTCTTGGCCGATCGATCTACTCGAAGCCACAGGCGAGGATGACATGCCAAGTAATTCCATCTGTGGCAAACGAGGGCGGTGTTATAGCGATCTGCAAACTCAATAGCAGCTTCGTGACAGAAATGACACTAATTTTCCATACCCTAACCCTACTTCATACTCCAAATTAACAATAACAACCCGAAGAAGAAACATCTAACAGCATAGCACACACAATCACAACACCCAAACAAAACAAACAAAAATCCGAATGAACGAAATTTTTAATTTTGACAAAATCCTAAATTGAGCCTTCTTCAATTAAACCAAACAGGTAATGGCAAAGAGAACTACAGACTCAATAACATCAAAGTGACCGAAATGGCACCAATTCCACACCCTAATCCAACTTCATGGTCCAAATTAACAAGAAGAAGCTGAAGAAACATCCAACAGGACACCATAGCATCAAATTCGGCAGAAAGAATTCAACTTGAAGCAAAACAAAAACTGAGG